TGTTGGACTTTGTCAAATGCTTTTTCTGCATCTATCGAAAGAATCATGTGATCTTTGTTCTTGCTTTTATTTATGTGGCGAATTGCATTTATAGATTTGCGTATGTTAATCCAGCCTTGCCTTCTTTATTCTGGTACACCTCTATATTCCAGTGATACTGTTCTCTTAATACTTGAAGTTCTCAGAATTCTGGTTGGTCACTTCCCCAGGGTAATTTCTCCCTCTCATTCAGGCTCCACCTTAGGCCTCATCCCTCAAGAAGCCTCCCACCTCCACCTTTCTGCTTTCAAGCCAGGTTACTTGTCCCTTACATTCATTCCTGTAGCACCTTGTGGGCATTTCTGTCAGAGAACTCATCACAGTACGTTGTAGCTGTTGGTTTACTTGTCTGTTTTTTCTAATAAGCTGAAGTCTCCCCAGTAGCTAAGACTATATCTGATTCCTCTCTGTCTAGAGCCTAGCCCGGTGTCTGATAACTATTACTCAGTAAATGCTTATTAATTAGACAATTCAACGTCAAGCTTTATAAATTCCATCTCAGGTAAGGAAGCTATTGAGAAACGTTATTAACTTTTCTGTTTTGCTAACGTAAAAGCACAGAATTCAGTTCCTGAGCAACTTCAGCCCTATAAGCAATAATTCTACTAGGTGGCACTTAACTATCATAAAAGTAGATGAACCAGACAATCATGTACCCAGAGAAAAGGCGACTGAGGGAGGAGCAAAGGATAAAGAAGGGAGTGAGCAAAATGCCACACAGTTAATTGCAAACTGGCACAAAGGTGAATGTGATTCATGAAGCTAGCTTGGTTCAGGAGAGCTGAAATAGGATCAAAGAGCAAAAGGCAACTCACATAGAAGCAGGGATTCACGGGGAACAGGCAGACACGAGCAGGTGAGCATTCAGATGGGGCTCAGGGCCCCTGGAATTGTGGTCTTTCAGGCTCTGGGTGATGTGGAAGAAGGGAAGCCAGAGTGTGACGCTCTGGGAAGGCTAAGTGGGGAGGATTAATGTTTACTCCAGGTATAAAGAGATACCGGAAAGACCTTAGGAGGAGATAAAGAGGGGGCTTTATTGGGGGTGAATAAGAGACAGTAAGCAAGGGTTGAGACGGCCAGTCCTGAGAAGAGTGGATTTAAATATACTGATATATCCTCCCCAGTCTATGAAAAGTAAATTTGACTATTTGAATTATTTTGAGTAGCATATAAAATGATACATTTGGCACATTTGGGCAAAAACCTTTATATAATTAACAAATTTGGAGAAACAGCCCTTCCTTGGAAACTTGTAATTGTGATTTTTTTCAGTGGGTGGGTAATTAATCTCCTTTTTGGAAAGAAGTCAGCTATTCTTGTTAAATGGGTAAGATCTGGCGCCTGAGTTATCGGATCACCGTTTAGCCCTTTGGATATTTATTCAACATCTATTATGTGCTAGCACTGTTCCAGCACCAAGAACACATCAAAAACGAACCAGAAAAAAATGTCTGCCTACCTATAACTCACATGGGGATGGAGTCGGGGTCGGGGAACAAGGGATATGAAAATAAACAAACATAGTAAGTGATATAGTATATTAGAAGGTAAAAAGAGCTATGGAGGAAAACAGGGAAGGAAGGTAGACAAATGTGCAGGTGGCCAAGAGGGTTGTAATTTTAAATAGGGTGAACAAGGAAGTTCTCACTGAGAAGGTGACATTTGAGCAAAGATTTTAACAAAGTGAATGAGCAAGCTGTGCAGACTGGCATCATATAAAATAGGATGCCATTCTATAAACTCTACATTGTAAGCCTTTCTAATACCATTTTAAAAATAATTTAAAAATGAGGTTGGAAGCGGTGTTAGAAGGTAGTTGCTGAGAGCAGAAGGGGCATTTTAAGCATTCACTCTTTGCTTTCTCTAAAATTTACTGTTTGGTTTTACACTGAACACCTGGTATGACTCTGCAGTTTTTACTCCATGAAAACAGATACCTAGGATGCATTTTTTTCCCTTGAAATCTCTTTTGAAAGAAAAACAAGTGTTTTCTTAATGGAAATAGAAGCCGGAGAGGTTTTTTAGAAACCGCAATAGTATACAAAATATGAATGACCCCTGCAGTCACAGAGATAGAGGAAACCTGGTGTCTAGAGCTCCTCTAATTTATTGCCTGAGGGAAAAGAGGGACTAAGAGTTGGACAAAGCAAAGATCCATCAATACTCAGAGAATCTGGAAAGTTGCTTCTGTCTTCAGTTATTTAGATTGATCTACAGGACCAGCCCTTTTGCTGTAAAGGAAGATTCAGCCAAAGGGAATGATTTAAGGTGTGAGTATGAGTCTTTTTCAGTGGTTGATTTTCTGGGATGAAGTTTTGTTTGGGAGTCTAAAAGCTGAACAGTTTTGTTTGTTTCTTTCCTAGCCGATAGCTGTTATTCTTTTTTTTTTCTTCTTCTTCATTTCAGGATATTGTGAGGGTACAAACATTATGGTTACACTTTATGTCTTTGCCTTACCCAAGTGTGGGTTAAAGGCATGCCCTTCCCCCTCTTAACAGTTAATATAAGATAGAATTTCAGCCTTGAATAGTGTTCAAATGGGTGATTCCTTTTTCTTTTTAATTTTTTTTTTTTTATGAAGAGGGGTAGTGATGGGGATTCAGTTGCCCTGGCTAGAGTGCCGTGGCATCAGCTTAGCTCACTGCAGCCTCAAACTCCTGGGCTCAGCGATCCTCCTGCCATAGCCTCCCAGTAGCTGGGACCACAGGCATAAGCCACCACACCCAGCTAATTTTTCTATATTTAGTAGAGACAGGGTCTTGCTCTTGCTGATCTGGATGTCCTGAGCTCAAGCAGTCCTCCCACCTCCATCTCCCAGAGTGTGAGGATTACAGGTGTGAGCCACTGTGCCCAGCCAAACAGATGATTCTAACTCTGCCTCTGTAGTACTTCAGACCGGCTCTAGTTATTTTAAATATTTTTAAATTCCAAATGTAATTAACTTTAATTTGCTTTATTTTATGTAATATGTCACCTGTGGGGAGGGAGGCATTTTGATAAACCCAACTACATACTCTACAAATTTGAGATGATTGAGAATCCTTAATCTGTACTCCAAATATACAAAGTGTTTGAGATGAAGAGTCTGGGAAAGGGGAGCTTTGGAATCAGATCTTGTTGCTTAGCCAGTAACTATGACTTGCACAAGAGATCCAGAGACGAAAGCTGGATCAGAAGACCCAAAACTGTTTTGAGCAAAGTACATACGGGGCAATTAAGGAAGCCTTAACTGTTAGAGGGTAGATATGGCATTATTCACTAATGCCAAGAGAAGCTATAATGTAGAGCAGAGAAAATTTATATATTTTAATGTATATAAATATATACGAAAATATATAAAAATAAAAATTTTAAAGTATATATAAAAATAAAATGTACAAAAATAGATTTTACATGTAAATAATATACAGAGCAGAGAAAATAGCCAGCAGACAGTTGGCAATGTCCGGAGACATTTTTGGTTGTCACAATTGGTGTGGGGGGCTAAGGGGTTGGGATATGCTTCGGACATCTAGTTAGTAGAGGCCAGGGGCACTGCTGAACATTCTAGCACATGCAGGACGCCCCACAACACAGAATTATCCAACCCCAAATGTCAATAATGCCAAGGTTGAGGAACCCTGACCTTAAGGAAATCCACAGAGGAGATCATAAGACACAGTCTGAGCTTTATAGCAGGCCAGCTACCAATCACCAAAACAAAAAGCACTTAACTTTTTTGTTTGTTGCCTTCTCATTTAATGTTCCTCCAGGAAAAGAGAGGAAAAAAGTTACTACTACAGCAACCATGTAGAAGGGATTCCATTATTCCATTGAACACTACCAAGTGTTTTTTATTACAGGCATCGAGAAAATTCAAACTCACTATAATGACAAAATGATGCAAAAATTTAAAAACTATGCTTTTTTTTTTTTTTTTTTTCCCTGAGACAGAGTCTTGCTTTGTTGCCTGGGCTACAGTGAGTGCGGTGGCGTCAGCCTAGCTCACAGCAACCTCAAACTCCTGGGCTCAAGCAATCCTTCTGCCTCAGCTTCCTGAGTAGCCAGGACTGCAGGCATGTACCACCACACACAGCTAAGTTTTTTTTATTTGTTAGTTTTTTTTTTTTAGAGACGGGGGTCTTGCCACATTGCCCAGGCTGGTCTTGAACTCATGGCCTCAAGCGATCCTCCTGCCTCAGCTTCCCAAAGTGCTAGGATTGGCCAGGTGTGGTGGCTCATACCTATAATCCTAGCACTCTGGGAGGCTGAGTCAGGAGGATCACTTGAGGTCATGTGTTTGAGACCAAAGTACTAGAATTACAGGCATGAGCTACCACACCCGGCCAAGATTGATTTCTGATCTGGATTTCATCACTAAGTTTATGACTTTCAGCAAGCCATAGACCTCTCTGTCTTAATTTGCCCATCTGCCTTAAGTCCTTATAGATAACATGGCCTGAAAACTGTGAAGGCTGTTTTAAAACCATAATGGTCTATTTAAGTGTTTTTAAATTAAGTTGATTTATTTCCTTAAAATGTAGTTATGTTAAAAAAATGTAGTTATATGTGCAAGCCACTGGCAATATTGTTGATCACCAGTGGCCTAATTTTTGAAGACTGAACACCCGGATGGTAAGGACTTTATAACTTCTTTGTAACTTTATAACTTTAATTCAGAAGTTGAAGCTTCTTATCTATCAATCACAAAGAAGGAAGGGAAGGAAAAAGGGAGGAAGGGGTGTTAGTTTATGATCTAAAGGCAAAATTGTCAAAATGGAAAGAAGAAAATTAGACTCAACAGTAGCAGCAGGTGGCAGAGAGCCTTTGAGTATGTGAGAACCACCCTACAAAGCATGGTCATTATGTTAAGTGAAATAAGCCAGGCACAGAAAGACAAATACCGCATGTTCTCACTCATATATGGGAGCTAAAGAGATTGATCTCATGGAAGTAGAGAGCAAAATGATAGTCCCCAGAGGCTGGGAAGGATGAGGGGCAGGGATGAAGAGAGGTTGGTTAGTAGATACAAACATACAGTTAGAGAGATAGAATATGTTCTAGTGTTTGAAAGCACAGTGAGGTGACTATAGTTAACAATAATTTATTGTATATTTCCAAATAGCTAGAATAGAAGATATGAAATGTTCCCCACATGAAGAAATGATAAATGTTTGAGGTGATGGATATCTTAAATAACCTAATTTGATAATTACACTTTGCATATATCAAAATATCACATGTACCCCATAAATATGTACAATTATTATGTATCAATAAAAAACAAAGCATGGGGGGAAAATGTGTATATATATATATATATATATTTCTTTTTTTTTAATGGAGATAGAGTCTTGCTCTGTTGCCCAGGCTGGAGTGCAATGGCAAGATCATGGCCCACTGCAGTCTTGAACTCCTGGGCTCAAGTGATCCTCCTCGTTCAGCCTCCCTAGTAGCTGGGACTACAGGTGAATACCACCACTCTCAGCTAATTTTTAATATTTTTTTGTAGAGACGAGGTCTAGCTATGTTGCCCAGGCTGGTCTTGAACTCTTGGCCTCAAGCGATCCTCCTGTCTCAGCTTCCCAGAGTGCTGGGATTATAGGCGTGAGCCATTGCACCTAGCTGGAAAATATATTTTAAATCTCCATTTCCTTTTGGAACCAGATACCCGTCAGAAAAGGTGCTAAGAGCCTACATTAGCTCATTGTACTTGTTATTAGAAATGGAGAAGGAACACCTTGGGTACAGCGTGTTTATTCTTTTAAAGGTGTAACCAAGAAAGCCAATTGGTCTAACTGTGTGTATTTTTATCCTATAAGCCACTGCAGGTGTGTGAGCAAGACTGCTGCTGCAACAAAAGCCTAAACCTGACCACATCTTGGGAAAAGAATGGCCACTTCCTGGACTGCAATCTTTTTCATGCTAGTGGCATCCTGTGTTTGCAGCACTGTCTTCCACAGGGACCAGCAGACTTGGTTTGAGGGTGTCTTCCTGTCTTCCATGTGCCCCATCAATGTTAGTGCCAGCACCTTGTATGGAATTATGTTTGATGCAGGGAGCACTGGAACTCGAATTCATGTTTACACCTTTGTGCAGAAAACACCAGGTAAGTGCAACTGGGACCCTTTCCAGAGTCTATAAATTCACACTTTAGTATCCCCTGCCAGAAACAAACGTGCTGAGAGTTCATGATGTGAATTACAGAATCTTATAGCTAGTGAATGTCCTTCTTCAGAGAACACTTTGGACTGTAATTGAACATATGATTTAATTCGTTGTGGAATTTTGAGAGATAAGGGCTGCATGTAGTCTGAAACCCATGTGTTCAAGAAGAATGGCTGTAATTTGTTCTTCCTCTTCTCTAAAGGCGGTTAATACTCCAGGGGTCCAGAATATTGGGAGTGGTGGGAGAAGAATCACATGAGAGTTTCACTGACATCCTTGGACAAGGGGCTGAGGGGACTCACTTTTTCTGAATTGTCAGTGTTCTTTCCTCAGGTTGCCTGTAGAGCCTGGGAAAAGGACTAGGAGCTAGGTGTCCACCAGAGAAATGGCAGCGGGACCCTTGGGGGTTTTTCTAGTTCTCCTTCCCAGTACTCCTGCAAGACATTCCTCACAAGTGGGATCATTTGGAATAGCTTGGGGGAAGAGCATGTTAACCTAGTAAGTAATAGGAAAGTTTACAGAGCCCAGTGTCTGAAGCACCCTAACTCTTGGTAATCAGCTTGCTCTCTTCTGTTTTGTTCCATGGACAAAATAGGACAGCTTCCAATTCTAGAAGGGGAGATTTTTGAATCTGTGAAGCCAGGACTTTCTGCTTTTGTAGATCAACCTAAGCAGGTGAGTTTCTTATGATTTAATGTTTTGATTCTCAGTAACTTGATAATTTAACAACACCACTGCTGTTAAATATCTCATGCTGTTCATTAATGAGATTGAAGTCATATATGAGATCAGTTTTCTCTCCTCAGCTAATTTCATGAAGAATAGTAATTGTATACTCCTGGCTCATGAGGGCTGGGTGGAAGGAGGCTAGAAAATAGATTGTGGTCATGCAGGGATGACACTAGCTTTTAAGAGATTGTTCCCTGTGTATTTACTGTTTAGGTCTTGTGTTGAAGCCATCAGCTGCATTGGTTTATGTAAATGAAGAAAATAGACATGAAGTTTTATAGGATATGATGTATAAACATGGCAGTTGAGGGGATGGAGACCAGTGAATTTCATTTTATCTTTATTTATTTTTTTAAATTAGAATTTATTTTATTTTATAATGTCTAAAAACAGCCCTAGGACAATAACGATTACACCCTCAGAAAAGGCATCAGCCCCCCACCCCACTCCCATCCCAATCCCGGTGGGATTGGGCTCCTTCCATGGTTGGTGTAAACAGACTGGGACCTGGAGGGGAGAACTAACTGGGAAGAACTATCTGGGCCTTCGATGACCTCCTTTTGTGAGATCAGAATTGACCTTCACTTGGGGTCTCTGAGCCCAGGTCTGTGCTTCCCAGTCAAGGTTATTCACTTAGTTTTAAATGAGAAACAAGCCAGTGTTTGAAGAATCCAACAAAATCACTCCAACTCAGTGTTTATGTTTACAGAAGGGAAGAAAATTATAAGGCACTTACATTTCACATCTCAGTAGGAAAAGTAAAAATATCTATTCCTTTCAGACAATAAACTTGTCACTTAATTATTATTTCTATTATAATAACTCATTTAGCAAACAATGAGTCATACATAAACAATTCTAATAACTGTCACATAAAATTTAGCTATAAACTCTGACATCTAGGTCATAGGACACAGAACACAGTTTTCCACTGATAAAATTCACTCTGCAAAAGAAAGAAACTGATGTTTTGGTGAATACTTATAATTCAACAATTTACCTACCACACTTGTGGAGGTTTTTTTTTGCAGCCATAATGGTAGAGATATTTTCCCTATTTCTTCTCCCTGATATCCTTCCCAAAGCTAAGCTCTGGGATTCTGTTTGAAATCACCCCCAAAATAGAATAGACCACTTACAACACTCACTCTGGGGAAGAAAAAAGATAAGTAAGAATTATCAACAAACAGAATATAATCCTAAATTTTTTTCCCTAAAAGCCACCTCTTTCTTGCCTCATTGGAAATATTTTATTGTCTTTCAGGCTTTGCTGATAAAATACATTTTATATTAATGAATAAATCTTTTCAAGGTAGCAAGTCCAGGGAGGGGTGGTGCTGACTGCAGCACAGACATGTGTGGCCCCAGTGTCAAATCAGACTATCTTGTCACTTGGGAAATCCTCCCACCCCCACCCTGCTCATTGAAAAATTCAATGACGACCATCCCAGGAGACACGCTCTGTGCCTGAAGTGCAAATTGCTTTGCAGATTCTTGCACTGCCTCACTTGGGTGGGTTTTCCTCATCCTTTGGGATAGTTTTTTCTCCCTTCAAAAGTCTGAAAGAATCCAGAGAACAGGAGTCATTTCTGCCCCTTCCTCCCAATATGAGTATCCTATTGGCTGAGCACCAGTGTGTCTAAATGGAATGGAAGCGCAGGTTGGGGAAAGAAAAACAATGTCCCTAGGAGTTAGCTTTTTAATTTTTTTTTTTTTTTTTTTTTGAGACAGAGTCTCACTCTTTTGCCCGGGCTAGAGTGAGTGCCGTGGCGTCAGCCTAGCTCACAGCAACCTCAAACTCCTGGGCTCAAGCGATCCTTCTGCCTCAGCCTCCCGAGTAGCTGGGACTACAGGCATGCGCCACCATGCCCGGCTAATTTTTCTATATATTTTTAGTTGTCCAATTAATTTCTTTCTATTTTTAGTAGAGATGGGGTCTCGCTCTTGCTCAGGCTGGTTTCGAACTCCTGAGCTCAAACAATCCGCCCACCTCGGCCTCCCAGAGAGCTAGGATTACAGGCGTGAGCCACCGCGCCCGGCCGGAGTTAGCTTTTTAGGTGAAGCTACAACAGGAGACTCCTCTCAGCACCAGGGCATGCAAGCTGTTACCGCAAGAGGCTCCAGCCCCACTCCTCAGGCTGTCCTCTGAGAAGAGGTGGCACAGGGCTGACATTCACTGGACACTCCAGGAGACATGGCTGCTGTGGGCATCTTGGGTCATCCCTGAACAGTTGTGAAACCAGGACCAGGAAAGGACAGGAGGATGGCTGAGGACACATCACCCTGTAAAGTTTCGAGAGGGTAACCTCAGTCTAAAGATAACCTGGTAAGGCGTGTGTGCCTAGGGAAGATAAAAGGAGGAGAAGCACAAAGATTTTTTTACAGGGGAGTATCAGGTGATTATTCTCTGCTTTCCTTTCATGTGAAATGTTCAGAAACAGAAAACACATATTTTAAAAAGAGTTATTACCCACAGCGCTGTGAAAAAAAATGATCAAAAATTAAAATACTGTGTCTCTTTGAAAAATAAAGGACAAATAGTTGATAATGGAGAGCGGTAGTAAGCATTTGGGAATGTGGAGAAGGAACTGGAAATTTAGGATTTCCAACAGGCCCTGCCTAGAACAGTTAGGCTGGGCAAACTGAATTTGCGTCTTGAATCTGAGACACTGCTTGCCATACATTTGCAAAATGCAAGGAAAACCAGTGCCCCTAGAAAGTGTTAAAATAGTTAAAGAGGGGGCAATTAGACTGAAGTGGCTGTAGTGTCTTCTGTTCCTCCCTACAGAAACCTAATTCTAACTCAGATGCATTTCCTGTAAATTATAACTTAGAGGAAGACAAAACTTAGGCAAACAACTACAAACTGCCAATAACATTCTGATTACAAAACCAGAAAATAGCCACTATATAATGGTACCTATTCAGTTATTCCATGTAGTTTGCTTCCACATGCACCTTATAAAAGCCTTTCCTTCGAGCCCTTCCAGTGGCCCCAAGACCACACAAACCATGTTGAGGGGCTGCTAGATTCACAAATTACTATTTGCTCAAATAAACTCTTTTAAGTATTTACACTTCCTCAGGTTAATTTTTAATAGGAGAAAGGAGGTATGGGGACCTCACGGACTCACAGCTTCTCCCACGAACAGACCCCGCACACCGAGTGGAGATTCTCCCCGAGGACCCTGCCTTCTCCCCACACAACCTGGGGGAGACGCAGGGCTGTGGGCGCAGAGCTGCACAGAGAGGGCTCCTGGCTGCGGGCAGACTAAACGTGCAGGGACCGGACAGGACGCCCAGGGTCCCAGCTGCCCGCCCAGCCCCACCCTGTGGCCAGAGGGAACTGAGGGCTACTGAGGGCTAAGGTGTGCCAGTGGAGAACTTCAGGTCTCAAGACTCTTGACCTGATGCAAGAAGGCCCAGTCCGCCACGGCCGCTTCTGACCGCTCTGACTAGCCCCAACTCACACACAGGACACTCAACCCGTACACTCACCTTTTCCTAGCTTTTGGGGTGTCCCAATGTCCTCCCTATGGATCTCTCAGTACCTTCAGGTCACAGGATGTCAGAGGCTACAGCAGAGACTCCTGGGCCCTCCTGGAAATGGAACAGTGGAAAGGGGACCCTAGCTCGGTGCCCAGCACGCAAGTGACAAAGACTGGGCCAGATTTCACCAGCCGCCTCCTTCTTTCTCGAATTTCATTTTAGAGTGCCTGGATATAGTATGGAAGTATGCCTATATTCTAGATATTAGGCAATAGCCCATGATGACAAAGATCTTTGGTAGTAAAGAATGAATGGAGAGTCTGTGGTGCCTGTATTTCACATTTGAACACACACAACATGCTACATCCAGTCTGTCTGAGGCCACGCTGAAATGAAATAGAACAAGGCAGAATGTTGAACTTTGGGAGCAGACATGAAGTTATTTATTGCTCAGTGTCACAAAAACGTGCATTACCCAAAGGAAAACCTGATGTTAAAAATGGTTTGAGTTTGGAGAATTGAGAGGATATATCTTAGTTCGGTAGCACACAAATGGCAAATGTGCTAGAAAATTAGTAGCTGTTGAAAGCAACTACATTATCAGACACTGATTTGACATTTAGAAAAGATGATTGTGTTATAGTTGCTAATAATAATGATTAAAGGGCAGTGCATTGTCAGAATAAATGTTCATTCAGGGAAACAGTAGATTTAAAATAATGATTTTCATTTATCATAAATTGAGCATCTCCTCTTTGCCACACATGTAGGTGCTGATAATACAAAATGAGCCTGACCTGTTCTGTCTTTAAGGAGATCATCAAAAATATAACATGAAAGGCCGGGCGCGGTGGCTCACGCCTGTAATCCTAGCTCTCTGGGAGGCCGAGGCGGGCGGATTGTTTGAGCTCAGGAGTTCGA